GGGTTTGGGATCGGCCCTGGGTGTCTTTTCCAGCCCCACATTCCCAAATAAACACCTCGGATCCACGACTGGTCCCACGTGGATTTCCTGGTCTCCGAGAGCTTCTCCCGCCCTGGCAATTCCAGAATTCCATGGAACGGTTTGAGCTGCGTTGACACCAGAAGCGATTCCCGTTTTTATTCCCTTTAAATCATTTCACATCCCGTTTTTCCTCCCTCATCCCGCTTTTCCAGCAGAATGCAGAGGAGCAGGGCTGGAATCCGGCCCGGATCCATCGCAGAACAAATCCATGGATGGAAACCGAGGAGGAGGAAAAGGAACCAAAGCTCAATTCCGCTGGAATCTCCAAAATCCAGGGGAATATTCCCAAACCCGGCCTTTCCCGGGGAAAAGACAAATCCGGAATTCCCTTCATCCCGGATTGTCATTCCCTGCTCCCACAGAGCCAAGGCCAAAGGGTTTGGATCATCCCAGACATTCCCCCCGGCTCTCCGTGCCTCAGTTTCCCTGTGGATATTCTCTGGAATGTTCCAGTCCTGATTCCCTCTCTCTCCATTTCCCGGGAATATTCCAGCCCCGATTCCCTCTCTCTCCTTTTCCCGGGAATATTCCAGCCCCGATTCCCTCTCTCTCCATTTCCCGGGAATATTCCAGCCCCGATTCCCTCTCTCTCCATTTCCCGGGAATATTCCAGGCCCGATTCCCTGTCTCTCCATTTCCCGGGAATATTCCAGCCCCGATCCCTGTCCATGACCGGATTTCCCAGGGACGCTCCTGCCGCGGTTCTCCCGGGAGATTCCCTGGTCCCGGATTCCCAAGGGATGATCCTGTCCCGGTTTCCCCAGTCCTGTTTTTCCCGGGAGTTGCTCCAGTCCCGTTTCTCCCACGGGACGCTCCAGCTCCGCTTCCCCGTGTCCCGGTACCCCCGGGAGATATTCCCATCCCAGTTTCCCTTATCCCGTTTTTCCCGGGACATGCTCCCATCCCGGTTTCCCCTATCCCGGTACCCCCGGGAGGAGCTTTTGTCCCGGTTCTCCCGGGCCGGGTATTCCCGGGAGATTTTCCTCCCCTTTTTTCCTGAGGGACGCTCCTGTCCTGGTCCCACCGGGAGATTTCGCCTGTCCCGGTTCCCCCTGTCCCGGTACCATGGGGAAATTCTTCTGTCCCGGTTCCGCCTGTCCCGGTAGTCCCAGGGCAGCCTCCTGTCCCGGTTCCTCCTGTCCCGGTGTCCCCCCTGTCCCGGACCCACCAAGACTTTTCCAGCCCCGTTTTTCCCGGAGGATGCTCCATTCCCGGTTCCGCCTGTCCCGGTTCCCCTTGTCCCAGTGTCCCCGGGAGATTCTCCTGTCCTGGTCCCACCGGGACTTTTCCAGCCCTGTTTTTCCCAGAGCACGCTCCATTCCCGGTTCCTCCTGTCCCGGTCCTACCGGGAGATTTCGCCTGTCCCGGTACCATGGGGAAATTCTTCTGTCCCGGTTCCGCCTGTCCCGGTAGTCCCAGGGGAATCTCCTGTCCCGGTTCCGCCTGTCCCGGTTCCGCCTGTCCCGTCCCACCGGGACATTCCCAGCCCCGTTTTCCCGGAGCACGCTCCATTCCCGGTTCCTCCTGTCCCGGTACCACCGGAGATTCTCCTGTCCCGGTTCCTCCTGTCCCGGTACCACCGGAGATTCTCCTGTCCCGGTTCCCCCTGTCCCGGTTC